AGAGTGGCTCAAGAAGTGAGAAAGGTCAAGTGGTGCTGGGCAAAGGACGCAGCTCCAGGCCACCTGCCCTCTCTGGAACCTCAACGGGGTGTCTGTCCAGTCGGATCCTCCAGGCCTCTGAGGAGCAGCAGGGGAGTCAGCATCTGAGGCTCTCTTAGTGGCCAGGAATCAGCAAGCTTTCCTGGTACTGTACATTACCTTGGACCTAGCTGAGGCTCCCGCTGGGGATAAACCAGCCATCAGACCTCCCCGAAGGGCAGTGAAACTCCACTGGTCCTTGGAGCAGAGGCTGCGTTCCCCAGCTCCACAGCCAAGATCCCCGACTCCGCAGCCTCGGTCTCCCGTTAGGTGACTCTGCACGGATCACCTGTGGGGCCAGTCGGCCTCCTGCCAGCCCACCCCTCGCTATAGATATGCCTCGCTGCATGGTTCCCCTCCATTGCTGGTGCGGCACTGGCCTCCGGTCCTCCTGTTCGAGGCCTTGGCCTCCTTGGCAGGGCTCCCCTAGGAGACGGGCAGAGACCACGGGTTTTAGTTGTTGCCGCCCCTCTATCTTCCATTCACCAGCTCCGCCTGACTGGGCAAACCAGAGGCACTCGTTTTAAGGGTGACATCCTACTCAATTTCCTGGCTCCACCTCATTCTTTCCTCAACCCCTATGCCCTTGCCATTCGGTCTGGTCACCAGCAGCCTTAGACTGAGCCCTCAGGGTGCTCAGCATTGTGTCTGCAATTTTCAGCTACCCTTCTCCATCCCTTGTCAGGGACTCCTCTCAAGAGCAACTCCGCCCTCAGGAAGTGGAGAGCACAGCTGGGAGTGGTAGAGGAGACCCCTTGGGAATGAGGTGGGAAAGGGTTCTACTCCCGCTACTTCCTAGCCCTTGAAAGCAAAAGGGGGCATAAGACCCTGAACCTGTGAAGCCTAACAAATCTCTCAAGAAGTGGAAGTTTCTCATGTTCCCTGTGGCCTCCCTCATCTGCTCCCTGGATCCTGGTGTGCCACCTTCTGCTTGAAGGATGTGTATTTTCATATCTCCATATTCTAAGGATGCAAACGGTTCCTGGCCTTGAGCTGGATCAGCACCATTTCTAAGTCGTGGCAATAATCTCTGGATTCGTAGATCCCCACGAGCGTACAGGCACCCTTTAGAGAGGGTGCCGGGGAGCGGAAGCATCCTTCCCCAAGTCGTAAGAATTCATTGCTGGCTGTTCCCCTTCACCAAGGAGCTGGGGAAAGTGCAGTTTGCTGAATTTCTCACTCTGGCTGGGGAGCGCAGGGGCAGCTGAACCTGGACTTGCCCCAGCTGGGGAACATGCACCCGCCCCCTTGGCTAAGCCCACTGGGGCTACAGTGGCCGTGGAGAGGTGCGGTGCAGTGAGAGAAGACTGGGGTAGTCAGCTGTCCCTGGGGCAGTCTGCACACTGAACCCCTCCTCCCCAGCTGCACCGCTGAGCAATGATTTCAGTTAAGGACCTGAACAATGGGGATTGTATTTTGTGGAGTGGGGAGCCAGCTTCTGGCAAAAGTAGCAACGCGTCTACTCCCTAGGTGAGTGGAAAACAAACATTGACTGAGTTCATGGCCTGAGCGACACCAGGTAAATCTTCTCAGACGTCATAAAATCACTGTTGCTTATTACAGCTGGCACCTTCCTGCACTGGGACTCTCTTGTCCGGCAACATCTGTGGTCTGGCAGGACCACGGGTGTTGCTGAATGCGAGGGCCCAGGGCTGAGAGCCTCGCAAAAGGCACGGCTGGTGGTAGCGGGGCCTGAGCCTCAGCAGACCAGCGGCGGTCGCGGGGCTGGGGGAGTGGGGAAGGGGCAGCCCGCACATGCTGGCCTGGCAGTGGGAACAGAGCTGCCGCAGCTTGACTGGCAGTAAGGCCGGGGTGCAGCAGCCCTGCAGGGGAAGCCTGTCTGGGGTGCAGCAGCTCAGCAGCCCGATCAGGGCTGTACGCACTCCGGCAGTGGGACTGGGGCCAGGGCTGCATGCTCCCGTACAGGCAGTGGGGAGGGGCAGCAGGCTGAGGGGACCTTCTCTGGTTTGCAGATTCCCTCTTCCAGATCCCAAGGGTGCTGGACCAGTAAGGTCCAACCTGGACTAAATGCAGCGCAAATACTTGTTACTGGGGAACAGCCGGGCACCTCTTCCATTGGTGAAGGGGACAGACATTTTATGAGCTTAGAGTAAGATGGATTTATCTGGGGTTCTGGTCCCGGTCCCAGTGGGCTGAGCCCCTGGGTGCTGTGGCAAGGCCCTTGGACTGATCCACTGAGTGTCTGTGCTGCTCTGCTGCGGGTTGTGACCCCAACTCTGAGACCGGAGGGTCTGGCTCCCCAGAGGGCAGGTAGACCGGCTCGGTGGTATTTCAGCAATTCAGGTGACAGTCTCAAGGGGATCTCAGTGACCAAACCCGTCACACTGTCTTTTTCTACTCTGCTGGGGGCTCTTATTCCTGGTGGGGGTGGTGTCTGCCCACAGTCTCTGGCATTACCTCGGAGTCACATGGTCTCCAAAGACACGGTCCAGCTGTGACCATGTCAGATTTCCCTGCCCTAGGTGGTCTCGCTGTTTCATGCAAGCGAGGACACACACTTACCTGTTCTTAAACCCTCATGCGCCAGAAGAGGAGTCCGGGTTACACTTTCTGGGTAGCAGGAGAGGGCTCGCCCGCTACACAGAAAGGACCGAGTCATTCTGTAAGTCGACAGACAGGATGAAGGGTCTTCCAGCATCCACCAGAGAACTTCGTCCTGGGTCACCACCTGTATCCACTTCTGCTATGACCTGGCAAAAGTGCTTCTGCCATGATTGTAAACCCACGCCCCCTCCGGACCAGCGCACAAGCCTTGGCTGCAGCCTTCCTGGCCCAAGTACCAGTTCAAGTCATCTGCAGGGTGGCTACCTGATTGTTCGTCCAGATGTTTGTCTTGTTACACACGGACTCATCAGTCCCAAATGATGCTGGCTTTAGGGGAGCAATGTTCCAAGCTGCACGACAGCGAGCTCTGACCCAGCTCTGGGGATACTGCTTGTGAATCACCTAACGTGGAATTGACATGAGCCAATACTTACCTTGTTCTTTCCTAATGGTTGGGTTTTGGCATTCGTTCCTCGCTGTCCTGCCCCTCTGCAGGAGTTTCTCCAGAAGGAACTGAGAGTGCATAAAGCCAGCAGCCCCATGAGTGCAGCACTCCAGAGGGTCGATCCAATGGATACTGCTAAGGCAAAACTCTCCAGTGAGCATGCACATGGGTGTGCACCCAGCTGGAACAGAGAGAACATGAGCAGCATGATTCAAAGAACAGCAGCTAGGGAAGGCAGGTCACCAGTTTTGTGCCGGGCATGACACCTCGGGAAGGGAAAAGGAAAGAGCGGGATCGTTCTGTCCCATCTGCAGCATGGGCCTGCCACGGCCTCTACTCGGCACCTCCACGTGCTGTGCTGCTGCCCAAGGGAGCGGCTGCTGGTTTGGAAGGTGACTGCGGGGGCTGGCTGGATAGCATGAGCCACGGGAGGGAGGGTGCCCGTGGAAAAGCGCCCAGCTCACATCCGCCTGCAATGGCTGTGGCCAACGTCACCCAGAAGAGACGATGGCGTGGCAGGGTAACGTCCTAACACCCAGTTACACCTGAAATCGTGACGGAGTAACGAAGTAGCACGCCAAGGCTCTCTCCAGAGGACCGGCCCTAGTCTGGGAACTGGGCTTGGTTGCTGCAGAGAGACTTGGGCTTGCCACCTGTCCTGGGCAGCAGAGTCCTGCAGGAATCTGGGGAGACTGTTTCATTAGCCTCCTCCTGCTCATCCTCCATGGCCATCCTGGGGGCAGGACAGTCAGTTGGCGCCACAAGCTGCTGGGGTTCAGTGTCTGTGGGTGACGGAGCATCCAGCTCCTAGATTCAAGAGCATAGGAGGCCTACAGGGTTGCAGGTGAGAAACAGTTGCCCACAGGGCAGGGGGGACAGCTGCAGGAAGACTGTTACAGCTGTGCCCAGCGCCAGTCCATGCCGTGAATAACAGTGAGGCCTTCCCGAGCCGGCAGCTGGAGAGAGAAAGCCGGAACCTGTGATATGTGCCGAGTCCATGCGCCGTGACGCCCCGCATTGTGTGGAAACGTGCAAATCCAATCACCTGTGTAGACCATGCAGCCCGGGCCTCTGGTGCTTCTGCTGGCTCCATGTCCGTTTGCCCAGTCGCCACAGTCCTGGTAGCAGGTTTCCGTTCGCACTCCATGCACAGGCGCGGGGGTGCTGGAGGGATGGGGCTGTGGAGCGGGGCAGGAGCGGGGGACTCAGGCTGTGGTGTGTGATAAGGGAGTTGTACAGCAGTCATAGCTGTGCTCTGGTCCTGAGGCCCCTTGCTTGCTGGGAGCTGCCGTAGGATAGTAGCGGGAATGCCAGCGAGTGGGCAGTAGCTATTCAGCAGGCAGCACTAGGCCTGCCAGCTGGGGCAGGGCTGGTTGGGACCCCAGGAGGGACTCTGGATTAGCTCGTTCTTGGGCTGCAGTGGCCTGCGAAGCGCAGTGAGCTCCCCATGCCTCAGAATGAGGGAGCAAAGCAGGGGCGAGAGGAGGGGGCATAGGGAGCCTGGGGGCCCGAGAGGATTCTGAACTCGATGGATTGCTCACGAGTCTGACCCAGTCTGGCAGTTCCTATCTTCCCCCAAAGGGCAGCCAGTCTCCTGCCCAGCCCGGGCAGGGAGGGGGTTGCACCAGGCCCTGCATGTCCACGTTCTTTCTGGCCAAGGTGAGATTCATTCTCCTGAACACCGATTAACAGCAACACGGCAGGTGGGGGCCTGTGCCTCCAGGAACGCCCTGGGCTGCTCAGCCCTGGGACCCAGAGCAAGAGGCCAGCCCTGGAAATAAACCGGGCCATGCATTTCTCATGGCAGCCCTCATGGGTATCGGTAGCCATGAAAGTCTGCAGGGGCAGAGTGCTGCCAAGCTCCTTGTGTGGTTGGGACCTGATGGGACTCTCTCTGCTTGGTTTCTTGCAGTGCCTTTTAGAGAAACTCCCAGCTACACCAAGAGGAGACGGCTCACGGGCGCAGGAGGCCTCTCCTCCCCCCGCTTGCTGCAGCGCTCTGCCAGCGACAACAATTTGAAAGCCGAGAGCCACCCGTCCTACTCCCCAGTGCCCTCGCTCCGCAGCCTGCCCCCGCAGCTGCTGGTGCAAATGCAGGAAGCTGCTGTAGGGGCAGGGGTCGGGGACAGCAGCCTGGTGAGCACGGGCAGCTCCCGGAGCGCTCACAGCCGCTCCCCGTCTCTGCAGCGGGTGCAGGAAGAGAAGGAGGCCGACGTGCACACGCTCAGGAGGAGCAGCCGCAGCAAGAGCAGGTAAGAGAGGGCATGGGGAGAAGGGGTGCACCCGGGAACCCCGTGCTGGAGTTGACGGGGCTGCTGGGTCAGTGTGCATGGGACGGTGCCATCGCAGCCGCAGTGAAGCTGAGATGGGATCCTGCCTGCCTCCGCAGTAGCGTTGCTGTGAGGGGGGGTGTCGGGTGTTGCTGACCTGACAAGCAGCGCAGCCACCAGACCTGGGGAGCCCCAGCTCCAGGAGCTAAGGACGGACCCTGCTGGGTCTCTGGCTGTGGGGAGCGGGGAACAGGCTGACCAGCGGAGTCTGAAGAAACAGTCTCTGAGGCTCTGCATCTTCCTAAGCGAGCTCCTGAGCGAGCAGAGCTGTCCTGGATACCAAAGTGGCACCGCACAGAGTCCGTGCAGCAAGGGCTTCCTCTCCGTCCCTCCCGCCCCCAGCCCAATCTGTCTGCATGCTCCAGAAACCATCGTTCAATTGGTTGTTGCTATGACAATGGACCATGTTTGGATGACGAAGACACCAAGGTGGCATATTGCAGACAGTCCCACATCCACTACAGCCGTGCTGACTCCCAGCAGCCTGCACTCACCCCTGCCCAGAGAGAGGGGCAGTTCCGCTGTCCTGTGGAAGCCAGCTCTGGCCTCCACCCTAGGAATGGTTCATTGTGGTGGGAATGCCGCCATCCCACTGACCAAACCGGGGAGACCTGGATGAGCTTGGGCAATATCCAGACAAACAGCCACTGCTAGGGTCACCCAGGGAAGCGGCAGACCATTGTATAGAACAGTATTCATGGGAACAATATAACACATGTTCTCCCCTACTACTTCCCAGTCATATGTTGGCCTTCCTGGGCATGATCCAGAGGCCAGACACTAACCCCTCATAGGCTGGTACAAGATCCCATTAGCTCGTGAAGATCTTGGGAATAGCAGGCACCTGAGTATCATCTGGGCACCAGAGAATACAACAGAGACTTTCATTAAGGACATAAGATAAGAACAGCCAGACAGGGCCAGGCCAATGGTCCATCTAGCTCGGTATCCTGTCTCCAGCAGTGGCCAGGTGCTTCAGAGGGAGTGACTAGAACAGGGCAGTTTTGAGTGACCCATCCCATTATAAAGTCCCAGCTTCTTGCAACTGGAAGTTTAGAAACACTCGAGAACATGGGGGTGCATCGGGGTCCATGTTGGCAAATTACCATTTATGGACCTATTATCCATGAACTTACCTAGTTCTTTTTTGTACCCATACTTTTGGCCTTCACCATGTCCCTTGGCAATGAATTCCACAGATTTATGCATTGTGTGAAGAAGTTCTTCTTTTCGTAAATTTTAAAAATCTGCTTCTTACTGATTTTTATCCGGTGACCCCGGTTCCTATGTTATGTGAAGTGGTAAATAACACGTCCCGACTTGCTTTTTCCATATCATTCATGATTTTGTAGACCACTGTCATATTCCCCTCCCCCTTGGTGTCTCATTTCTAAGCTGAACAGTCCCAGTCTTTTTAATCCTGCCTTGTATGGAAGCTGTTCCATACTCCTAAGCATATTTCTTCCCTTTCTCTGTACCTTTTCCAATTCTAATATATGTTTTATGATTGAGAACCAGAACTGCATGCAGTAGTCAATATGTGAGCATACGCTGGATTTATTTAGTGTCATTATGACTCTTGAGGTCTCTTCCAGCCCTGTGATTCTATGATTATGATATTTTCTGTTTTATTATCTCTCTCTTTCCTAATGGTTCGTAATATTCAGTTAACTTTTTTGACTGCTGCTGCACGTTGAGCAGACATTTTCAGAGAACTGTCCACAGTGACTCCAAGATCTCTCTCTTGAATGTTATCTGCCATTTGTTGTCCAGCCACTCATTTTGGTGAGATCCCTTTGTCGCTCTCTTTCTGACCGTGACAGTCTGCTTTGGGCATAATTATCTCGAGTAACTCTGTATTGTCTGCAGATTTTGCAGTCTCATTGTTCATCCCCTTTTCCAGATTTTGTGAGCATGTTGAACCAGACAGGTCCAAATACAGATACTTGGAAGACCTGCTGTTTTTCTCTCTTCACTGTGAAAACCAACTGTAAATTCCTACTCCTCGTTTCTTCTATTTTAATCAGTTACTGATCCATGAGAGGCTCTTCCTGCTCAGCCCATGACTGCTTATTTTGCATAAAAGTTTTTGTTAAAGGCTTCCTGAAAGTTCAAGTTCACGCTATTGACTGGATCTCCCTGTTACCCTCAAAGAATTCTAATAAATTGGTAGGCATGATTTTCCTTTACAAAAGATGTGTTGACACTTGCCCAGCAAATTATGTTCATCCGTGTGTCAGATAACTCTGTTCCTTTCTATAGTTTTAAGTAATTTGCTTGGTGTTGAAGTTACACTTACCAGCCTGGGATCACCTCTGAAGCCTTTTTAAAAAATTGGTGTTACCTTTGCTGCCCTCCAGCCATTTGGTAAAAAGCTTGATTGAAATGATAGGCTTTTTTGAGTGATTGCTTGTGTGCATTCCAGTAGGTATGTGTGTGCCATGTGCACAATCGTGGGAAAGTGTTTCCCTTAGCCGTACCCATCAGGTCGGTTGTGGAGGTTCCTCGCATGGCACCTGCAAGGCACAGTACACAGGACAGTGCTGACCCCCGGCCCTCTCAGTTCATTCTTTCTGCCGGTGACGATTCTTGGAGCTTCTTGGTGCTCTTGCTCTGTGTGGAAGATAACGAGCCTTCACTCTGCAATGAAAGGACTGACAAACCCTGAAATGGCCACCCAAATCCTCTCTCCCTTAGTCCTGCTTCCACATCTGCAAGCACCTGGTTTCCACAGTCCTTTAGTTCTTCGCGGCTCGGTTTCAGTTTCTCAGTTCTGTAGTTAGCTGGGGAGGCCCCCTCCAATTCACAGTCCTGCTGACTGGGGCATGCCGGCGACTCAGGGGTTCAAGTGTTGTGAGAGCTGCAGGAAGCCTAGACCTGAGGGCGATGCTCACCCTTACTGTCATAAGTGCCAGCAAACAGCGAAGTGCCCTATTGGCCAAAGCTTTAGGCCCCAGACTAAACAAGAGCCAGGCTATTGCCTGCAGCTCCTACTTACGGAGGCAGCTGTCCGCCCTCAGCCCCTGCTGGAGTTGGCACCAGCTCCAGTGGTGGGCAGTGCACCTGACTCGGTGTGGGACCCCTCGGCACTGCGGAAAGATGCCTTGAGGGACCACTGGCACTACTCTTCACCACAGGCAGGTTTTTTTGCCTCTAAACTCCTGTTACTCTGCTGCTTAGCCATTTGTTTGGTCCTCTGGCTTTGTTTGGGGGTATTCATTTATTCTGAGCCTCTGCTACAGGTTTTTAAATAGTTTCCATGCAGTTTGCCAACATTTCACCCTTTTGACTGTTCCTTTTAGTTTCTGTTTAACTAGCTTCCTCACTTTTGTGTAGTTCCCCTTTTTGAAGTGAAATGCCACCATGGTGGTTTTCTTTGGCATATTCCCCCCTCCCCCCAAGCATGTTAGATTTAATTTCATTATGGTCCCTATTACAGTTCAGCTTTATTCATCTCTTGGACCAGACCCTGTGCTGCACTTAGGACTAAATCAAGACTTGCCTCTCCTCATTTGGGTTTCGGGACTAGCAGTCATTTAAGATGTTAAACAACTTTATCTCTGCATCCTGTCCTGAAATGAGACGTTTTCAGTCACTATGTGGATGGTCTCTTCTGGCTGGCTTGTTTAGGGCAAATGTTCCACTGGAGGTCAGCATACGTGTAATCAAGATATCTTAAAGGCCAATGTGAAGTCATGCAGCACACCTTCTGGTGATCTGGAAATGATACCGAGGACAGATTGTTCTGGCAGCAAACTATTGCACAGGCTTGCAAGCGCTGTGAGAGTCAGGGAATCCAGACACTGCAAGAAAAGTGTAGGATTCGAACAGAGTGCATCGCACCCACAGATGGTGGATTTTTGTGATATCTGCAATCAGATTTGCCAATTGGGGCTGGCTTAGCCGCTCACCAATGATGTCAGAAAAGATGAGCTCCATTGATTGATGGCTCAGTCCATCACTATCGTCATCAGCGTCTTCTTCTGCGTGTCCCAGATACATACACTAGTCCACTGTCATTCTCCAGGAGCCTACATGTCGAGCTATCAGTCAAACAGTTAACACAAATTTTATTTTGGTCTCAGGATTTAAGACGTAAGAGCGGCCAGACTGGGTAAGACCAATGGTCCATCCAGCCAAGTGTCCTGTCTGCCAGTGCTGGCCAGTGGCAGAGGATT